ATTGAATTTGGTTTTTTTCTTGTTTTGCTACAAAATAGACTTTTTTCTTAAATATTTTTACAATGTATATTTTGCAGTGTATTAAGAAAAATTATAAAAGCGATTGAATTTGAAGAGAAAATTTTATGATCCTTTCAAACAAAATAAAAATCAAGTGAAGACCACAAAAGCTGGTACTGATATTATAAATTTATTACTTTTTAATTATAAATAATGCTGCAAATAGTGTATATATCTTAATATATTATTATATTATTAATCTTTTTATATTAAAGTTTGAAGGAAAGTTTAATATATGAGATAAGCCCTAACATGTCATATTATTTATAAGCAGAAGTATTTTCACTTTTTTAAGTATTTATATATTAAGCTTTTAGTAATTTCTTAAGCATAAATTATATTAAAAAATATTAATACATAAATATATTAAAAAGTAAAAAAGTATTTAAATATATTTCATGTAAGAGAAATTTTGAAACTTCAGTTTTACCAATAATAAGTAAAAATTGTAAAATGCAATTCAAAAATAAATCTTTAAAATTAATTATATAAATAACTATTTTAAAAACGTGGCCATAAATATCGACTTTTACAATCCGTTTTTAATGTAATATTACGTTATTTAAATTGTTAATTAGTGTTAATAATATAATACAAAATATTTAATGTAAATATGACAATATAATTTCTAAAGACTAACTTAACAGTGTCTCAGTAAAAATTGCAAATAACGCATCCGTAAACCTAGAGAGACATAACTTTACTATCCACAGCTTCCAAGATTTTCTTCTCCATTTAATTAAACCGCATCAAATCCACCCTAGATAAGGTCAGTCGTAAACATCAGGCAGACTTCTAAACAAATACCACATAAATAAACTAAACTCGTTTTAATATTTAACAAATGGCAGTCCTCTCTTTTACTGTGATTTATAAATTGTCGCACGACTTTCGATAGCATTTATTCTTCACCTATTTGGAGCGCTAAATTTACTTCGAAATTAATCAGTCTGATAAAACTTATTAAGTGTTTTAAATGTAAGGTCCGTTTCCACCACATCGTTCTCTTCGAATGTATCTCCACAAAGTCTGTGGTTTGTCAAAACTGTCTGCTTTCACCTATCCGATTTTTGATTTTCATCAATATCAACCTACACTCCGCCATAAATATAATATAACCATCAGTGGTATTTCTTACACGTTCACGAAATATCTTAAAGATCTCGACTTTACTGACAATATCTGCTTAAGACAAACACATCTAAATGGTTGAATAAGTAGCTGAGCATGATCTTAAGAAAGATCATTCAAGAAAGACGCAGTTGGTTATATTTTAAATTAAGTTTGTAGCACAAAACACCAAAGTGTTTATACTTCTGATGAGCTAGAGAAAGTATTGACGATGACTTGATCAACTCTCATACACATACTAAATTCTATATATAAAAGAGTTGCTGAACAAATGTTTTACTCTTTTAAATTTGATCCATTTATTATAACTAAATTTAAAAGATCACTTCTCTTAATACGCGGTCTTTATACTTTATATATGTGTCTATATGTCGCTTACCGAATTATGTGAGCGACACTATTTTAAGGTTATCTTTTTTAGTAGCGTTCTTATATAAATTTCAAGTTCAAAAAATTTTAACTTCTCATATTTTAAACCACAAAATTCTTTTCATATGTTAATTTTTTTTTGTTGAATGTGACGAATCTTATGACGAAAATAAACTAAAAGGGTTCAAACAGTAATGAAGAAGCAACAATAAAAATTAGGTTAATTTATTGAAATTTGGCTGTTATTTTGACTTTTTTTTTATATATTTAATCAAAAACTGATTTTTGTAATTAAAAAAGAAATGTTATCCATTTTTCTCTCGATCAATAATATTTCACAAAAACTTCATTCTTCTTCTATATATATATAAAAAATATTCATAATATGCTTACAGATTACAAAGTACATCTCTAAAATTTTTGACTTTTTACTATATTTCCTATAACTCCAAAAAATAAAAAATTTTGATTTCCAACATCTTTCCCATCGTTTAAAAATCAACATCAATTATTATTGCACATAATCTTATATTACTTTAAAACCTAATCAAAGTAAGTTAATATGTTTTTAATTGGTAAATAAATTCATTAAAATTGTATTTATTTCCACTATTTTTCCACTAAATTATTTTTATCTAAAACTAATTTTCATTATTTCTATAGCTATTGTAAAAACTATAAAATAATGTTTTAATTTAAAAAAAAATGCACCGAACATTTAATATTACTCATTTAATATTATTAACAATATTTTTTTATTATTAATAGTATTAATATTAATTTATTATTAATAATATTAAATAGAAATAAAAAAAAATATGTAAATAATATTATAGACAAAAATCTTTATATGAGGGCTTGAGTTCTCATAATAAAAAAGAAAACAAAATTATATTGAAAAATATTTAATTGAATAGAACTGATTTAATTAGATGTAGATGTTTAATATTAATTAACAAGTACCTAATTAATATGGAAATATATTTTTATATAAATTAAAAGTAGCACACCTTTCAGTAAATTGATTTACATTACTTTAATAATTACTTTCAATAGATTCTTAAAAATTAATTTTTATAATTTATTTCTTGTACAATAATTTTAAAATTATTTTTCTTTTTATTTAGCATAAAATATAAGACTATTAGTATTTATAAATAATAATTGGAATTATAGTTCAATTTATATTATATTTTTTAATATTTAATTAAGTTTATTTTAACTCAACATTTTGAAGTTTTCCTTCGTAATAACATAAAAAAGCATTTTTTTAAATAAGAAATTTCTAATTAATTAATTTAATTAATAATATTTTTGCACTATTTATACAGCATATGTATTTTTTTTTTTCTCAAAAACAAATTAAATTTACAACCGAAATCAGACAAAAAGTGTGGGAAAATCATAAAGTAGAAAAAAAACCAAAATTTTGTGTATAATTTCAAATTTTTTTTGCTTATTTTTATTATTAAAAAAATGCTATTAAAATTAACTTAATTTAAAATTAACTATTTTTCTAAAGTAAAAGAAAATAATTTTAGCGGAAATTTTGTAATCTAAAACAAATTATTTATGTCGAATTTTTTGTGGTTTTAGGTTTTTTGCAAGACTTAATCTCTAAAACGTGAGTGGGTCAATTATTTTTAAATTTACGAACAATTTAAATATCTTTAAATGACAAATTAATTTAATATATTTGGTGATTAGTATTTAAATATTTGAACATTTGGAAGTATAAAAAGTCATTTAAAAATTATTTGGTGAAATACCTTATAATATTATAATATTGCATATTTGTAAATATTATTTGATAAATTATTATATTATGTCAATAAATCCACATTTAATTGTAATAATACTTTAAAGTAAAATGTTTAGAAAAAAGAAACTACATTTTATAATAGTTAATTATATTTATATAGCTGTGGTTTATGCCTCAGTTTTAAAAAGAGCATACCAGACGCAATGTATTAAATTCTAAAATTATTTAAAGCAAATTTTTTCCTAGTAATTATTTTTCCTAGTAATTTAGATTGATCTTAAAATACCCCTCTATCTAAGACTATAAGTTATAGAAGCTTAAAATATTTTGCGTTGTAGAAATAATTGATTTAAATTTTTGCAAATAATGTAAACAATAAAAATTATTTACATTTAAATATTAATATTGACGGTTATATTTTAAGACAAAAATACAAATTTTTTTAATTTTTCCTGATATTGGAATGTTTTTGTTTTATAAATATAAAATAAATCGGAGATGATAAAGTTAAGATCCGCTCCGCTTGTAAAACAATAACCTATATGCTTATACCTTTTTTTGGTGGTAGGTGAAAAGCATTGAAAGCAATAATGTGAGACTTTAACACACTAAAACCTTTTACCACCTCTTAAGAATGAATGAAGAAGACCCGAAGGGCAGTGTGGGAAATTTCACTCCAGTAATTAGTAGAAAGAGTTGGGATAAAGCAAGCCTCTTTGTATCTAGAAGTATATGTTTGTCAAAGGGGTGTAGAATAGAAGGAAGAGAAATAGATGGGGGAAGTGGGGTTATTACTTAAGAGCGGTACGTAAATTAGTTGTGAACTCTGTGACTATGGTCACGAAAGCTAGGAGAATAGAGAGGAGCTGCCTTTCATCAAAGTATAAGATGAGATATTGAGACGCAGGCATTGCAAGAGATCAAAGGAAAGGGCGCTAAAGTTTGAGACATCAAGGGAACTAGATCCTGCCTTTTATTTCTTTTTTGTTATGCTCTACAACAATATTTTGTTGCTCCTTCAATTGTTCCCTCAACAATTTTATTGAATTTTATTGATATAAAATATACAAATTTTTTTTAAAAATTTTAATTCAATTAAATATTTTTAAATTTTATTTTTCTATCAAACTAATATAAATAAAATTTTTTAATACTAAGATTTATTTGTTTTAAATAATATTTATTAAAAAAAATTTATTTTGTATAAACCAAACTAAACATACATACACTGTTGGCCAACTTAATATAATATTATATTTTAATTATATTATATTTATAAAGATTATAGGAAAGAAAAGTAACCACGGATTACCTGACAATCATGTTAATATGGTTTTAGTATGATAAATAAAATACTTTGTAATAAAAAAATAAATAATAAAACCTGAAGATTAAACTGTCGAAAGTGAAACTTTCCGGAAAAATCATAAAAGCTGTAGAAACAATACAACATAATATCTCATAAGCAATTTTGTAATAAAAATCTTAAATTAATAATATGAAAAATGGATATATTTAAATTTATTTTTAAAGTGAAATGCAAGTCAACAAGCAAACTCTAGTCAAATAAATAAAATAATGTATAAAAAAAACACACTATAAAAATTAATTATACAACACTGCCAAAAAACGTAATAAGTGATTAAAAATATTAAAGTTTAAAAATAATTATTAAAAAAGGAAAAATTAAAAAATAAATAAAAAAGGAACAAAAATTAACAAATAAAAATGTCACAAATCGATTACACCGCGCATAATTTTACATGCTATACTGTGCATGAGTGTTCCAGTGATGATGATCTTAGAAATGTTGTCGAACTCATAGATACCGAATCGAATACTCTTAGCCAATACTCTTTGGACTCGGCGGCCTCAACAAGTTCATCAATAGATATAAACATTTTGCGTAAACAGCAAAACTTACAACGAAAATATCACAAAAAAGTATTTAAAAGCAGTATGTCTCCAACCAAAAGAGTATCGATGCCAATCATACCACATGACAACGATTTATTACCACAACAGGATGCTTATCATTTTGTTAATAGCCCAGAAACTCCGCTACAAATAGGATATTTTGTGCCTTTAGCGCCTAACTGCTTCTTTAGTCCACCACTGCAGAGAAGGCGTTTTAGGTATGCTTAGGCTAAGAAAAGAATAGGGTAGATGAAAAGTATGAATTAATTTAAAAACAATAGTAATGTATTTTAATATTTATACTTTGATTAATAATTCTTTAAATATAATTATAATCAAACTGTTTAAATTCTTTAATAAATATTTATTTTGTTTTGTCTTTATAGAGAAAAAGAAAACGATCGGAATCGCCGCGCTGTTAGTTACGGCGAGACATCACCAAATTCAACAACACTCCCACGTGCAGCACCTAGGCGTGTTTCCTTAATGAAAGAACCTCCACCACCACCACCAAAGCCTATACTTTCACAACAATCTTCCATAAAATCTGCTTCTACTGCATCTCCTATACCTAGTAAATATCCACAATCGGAATATAATCTCATACAGAAGATCGATTCTAATAGCACTTTAACAGCGCCATCACAGTACCAAACACAAAACTTCTATGCAAACACAAGTACCATTTCATCAACGAGCAATAATTACTCTTCTTTATTGTGTCATGCCAGCTCCACTTCGAGTCCATTGGCAACACGGAAAAGGGAGAAACTTTTACATCGTTTCAGTGATGCTGCGACATTGGGTAGAAAACTTAAGAAGAAGAAGAATACAAATAGAACTTGCCGTTCTATGACAGAAGCCATTGAAATGCTTGCTGATCCTGTGATCGAGGATGAATTTTTTGTAAGTACTCTAAATGCATACTAATTATTATTATTAAATAATTGTTATTGTTATTGCTATTATCGGATAAAGTAGTCGTAATAATTACATATAAATATACATATCATCAATTTTGAATTTTCTATATATATGACGAATGAAATAAAACTTTAAGAATGGGAATATAATATTATAGAAACCTTTGAAAAATACTCCGTTCATAAACTGTGATATTCCCTCAAGGTATGGGTCAAACATTTGTGATTGCACACAGATACACACAGCTATTGTTGTAGATCGTACAACTATTGTATTGGTTCTGTCTATATATTGATTTCTACTTTAGTTGTATCTTTAAGAAGTACCGAATCTTTAGATTCTCGCTATTTATGTTTGCAGTGACTTTAATCTTTGATACCAACTAAATAAGTTTCCTGCATTGATGTTATTGTGACTAAAGCAAACTCTTCCGGATAAATTCAACAAAATTTTCTGCATTCCTACTAAAAGCTATATCAGAATTTGTCTTTAACAACGATATAATTGTGACTAGGAATTTTGCTTTGCAAACATTTCAGCTGAATTTTCCATTCAACTGATCCAGATATTCAACTTTAGTGTTTCGAACAATCTAACAATGAGTATGGAAATTTCTTCCTTTCAATAAACTTCAACCAAATTTTCCATTCTCCTACAAAAGGTTAATAGCATGCAGAACTGAGGGCTATAACAATCTTATACTGACTATGAAAATTCTTTCGTACACACTTCAGCTAAATTTTCTATTCACCTGATCTTAATATTCAGTTTCACTTCAACAAAATTTTCCATTCTCCTACTGAAGGTTAATGGTATTCAGAATTCAGGACTACAACGATTTTACAGTGACTAGGAAAACTCCTTCGTATAAACAGTTGAATTTTGCATTGTCTTAATAAAGCTTACTAGGATACAGATCGTGTCTTGAGTCGAGTGCACGCATAATCGGTAATCTTAGTAGCAAATTTTCCATTAAGTCCATCTCATCACTTATTTGGGGTAATTCACGATGGCTCATTCCTAGCTTTCGTTCATTATCTTTGTTTTATATTGTCCGCTATATGATAGGTATATGCTATGGTGTATAATATATGCAACACTATCAATAGCTCCTGTAAAAGTATATTACATTTTTTGAATATTCAATAATTTGCAATTAAAAACAAAGTCAAGTTTCTTAACATTCTAAAATGTTTTACCCACAAGCCTATTGATTATAAGATATATGTAGATCGTATTTTATAGTTCCATAATCTATGTTAAAATTCAAATCAAAGACAATCCCAAATAAATGTGTTAATAAAACAAAACAAGAAAAATAAATAGAACAAAAAAAAAAGAATATTTTTAACTTTATGCAATTTATAAAGTTTTTAACCGCCCCTAATTCACACTCGTATGAACCATAGAAAAAAGAAAAAACAAATTAAAATAAAATAAAATATATATAAAGAGATTGATATATTGTATATGCGAATGTTATCAAAAACATATCAACAATTAAGAGGCATTTGAACTCATTTCCATTTACATTTTCAATTTTGATATCGGAATAATTCGATGACGTATGAATGAGATATTTTAATCACTATAAAACGCCCCCCACACTGAGTGTACATTACTAATAGTAATCTTCTCAAAAGCTTAGACTACATTTAAAATGGTCTTAGGGCCACGGAAAAAAAAATAATAGAGAAAAACACTTGATAGTCTTCGTTCTTGTTTATTTTATTTTATGAAAAAAAAAAAATTATTTAATATATATTTATTTTATTTTCATTTTACTGAAAGTGTGGGGATGATATTTATTTTATTTTTTCAAAATTAAAAACGTGTGGCTGATTAAAAAGTCCAACCATTTCCAATGTCTCATAACAATCAAGAGGCAGAGTTCTCGTACTGAGACTTTTACACGCATACGGTATAACATATCTGTTTTTGACATATTGGAATGCAACTGTGTTGCATGTGGAAATATTTGTTTTAGGAAAAGTATTTACATATGTTCATATATATATCTTTGGAAATTTTTATCAATGGCGTTGGAAACATTCGCCTTTTTTATGTTCTCTTGTAAAATGTTTTCATTTGTTCTTTTTAAATTTTATTTATTTTTAATTGTTTTTTATTTTAAATTTGTATAGCAAATTTTTATTTCGTATTTTTACTGTCCTTAGTTTAAAATGGTTGGTCGCGATTAAAAGAAGTGCTTAGAACGGAAACGCGTGTGATTAGTGAAAGTATTCAAATTCATATTAATTCGATAAAGTATGTTTAATGATTGTAATATACATAATACTATGTATATAATTATTATATAAGATCACAAAAATATATAAATAAAATCGTCTTAATAACTGAGCAATAAAAATTTTAATATTTTAAATTTTAATATTTTTATTTTATTTTAATAAGACTTAAACATTTTTTTAATATTTTTAATTTAAAAATATGAAATGGTGAACTTATTTGTGGTTTAAAAAAAGAACTTTTTACCTTTGTTTAATTCACAACAATAAAAGAATTTAAACAAATAATAGCATAAAAAATTAAATAAATGTCAAATAAAATATTAATAACTTATTTTGAGTTTAATTTTACGAAAAAAAAACAGAGCAATGAACAAAATATTTTTTAAAAACAAAAATTGAGTAAATGTATAAAATAAACAAAAAATAATTAGAAAAAGAAACTTTAAATTTGATTATTAAATATATATTTTTTTTTGCGAATTTTCGCTCCAAACACTCCAAATTCAATTTACAAGAGCTACCCGAACCATTTGAAGCAGTATAAGCGAACTAAAATATCACAGACTATATATGTTTAAGTAGTAAAATTGAGACACTACTAGTTTTTAATATTTGCTAAATTAAAAATTTGTTTTAGATCAAGTATATTTACATATCAGATTATACATTTATTTATACTATTTATGGCCAAAAAAGGAATCTATATTAGATTTAAAACTAGTATCGTTACCATCAAATAATATGTTCTTTTTTCACATAATGTGAATACGTATATATTAACAAATTCACATATATTACAATGTAATATAAATCAAATGTAAATAAACATTTACCGAATCTGCATAAATCTAGGATTTGTTGCTCAAGGAACTGTTGTAGATAAAAATTCTACAACTCTTTGTTCAATATCTTTAAAGTTCTTTTCTATTCGAACTATATTATTCATGTCAGGCTCATTTTCTCGTTCGAACGACTTTTATTATGTCATTCACATCTGTGATGATGTTATTTATCACATCTGCCTCTGACTTTTCTGTTACATGATATATGTCATATACATGTCATGTAAGAGAACCATCAAATATAATCCATAGCTAATATTCAATCCACTTAATATAATATACTCCAATCTGAGTTATATGAAAAACTGTTATTCTTAATAGTAAAAGGTCTATAGGATCTGTTTTATAGATGATACTGAATACAAGAGTTAATTAATTCACATTATATTACATAGCTCATCATAATTTGTAATTGGTAAAAAAGCTTTATGGACTTAAGTTTATATACCAAAAGGTGTGAGTATTATGGACTTCTTACACTTACTAGTTATCTTTGCGTATTCTTTTATCAAAATTTTTGTTGATTTAAACAAAATTTAAGAACTCAATAATTTGAATTAAATTAATATGAGCGTTAGGAAGGAATACAAGTTAACATTCAATTAATTCATTTTATCAGTATCCACCCCCCTTTTAGTAGTCATAAAAAACATTCAGGTTAAATAAAGCTTTACTCTGCAGCTATTTTGATGTCAGCAAAAAAAATTAACAAGTGTGGATTAAAGTTGATAGATCACCAATCGACGTACATATATCGAACTTAATGATATAGTTTTAAAACCGAATTATTAGGGTTTTATAGAAATAAATACTTCGAAAAGTATGCCACTTCCATAATACCACAAACAAAATTACCTTGTCTATCTGCGGCTCAAAAACGTAAATGACAACATAAATCGACTGGTAAAATGTATCATGCCATAGACTTAACCAAAACATGTGCTCTAAGGAAATACACTGCAAAAACACAAATAAAACGAAAACAAGCAAAAAACAAAGCAACTAATTGGATTATTATGGCGCGTTCTGAAAGTGTAGCAACAATTGCAGCAATAAAATTTTATAATTGCAATGAAAAGCCATGGAAAATGAGTAAAGCGCGCCAGTGTTTGTTGAAAACTGTGAAATTTCAAAGAAATATCTAATTTCCAGTGACCTAATATAGAACGAATATAATGTTTAATATATATTACAGTGTAACGTTGCTTTAAAACAAACAATAAAAATGTATTTAATTGTAACTTTTCTTTTAATTTTTTTTTAATTTAAAATAAAATTAAATGTAAATCAAACGAAAATAAATAATTTTATAATATATAATATATATATATAATATAATATAAATAATATATATAATATATTTTTAGTTGTCCGTTGTTTTATTCAATTTTATTTGAAATAATATATATAAAATAAAATATAAATTAATCGAAAACCAAAAATTAAATCAAATTTAAAAAAAGCAAAGCCTATTTTTAGGCTGTAATTTTGTTTTAATAACTATCTTCCGTTCGTGAAAATGAAATTTTTAAAGTATACTTCTCGGCGAAGCAGTTTTAAAGCGAAACAACGTAAAACAGTATTACCGACACAAACGGCGGCAGTGCGACGCAATGGCATAATAAATACAGTAAACACACAAGCGCGTTATATACGCGCTGGTTATACGCCAACAGCACTGATTAGAAATGGCATTATCGGTAGTGGTGAAGGACCAGGTGCTAATGGTCTCTACCAGATTGACGATCGCATTTATACAACTTCAAAAATGTTCTTACGTGATGGTTATATGTACCCACGACAACCTGGTCAAACCATGGATCCCAGATACCCATATGAACTACATGAATTTCCACATCAAACTGGCGCTGCAGGTCTGCAGTTGGTC